TCCACTGTCAGATGCTGGGAATCATGAAAACTACTATGGCAGACGACGTCGGACTAGGTGCGTTCTACATTGTCTTCTTAAAAACAAGACCAAGTTGCGACAACGAGGTCAACCCACTTCTGATGCAGGCAGTGTTTTATCCCGTTGGCCTCTTTAGTATGGCTCGAAAAGTCTTTCCAAATAAAGATAAAACTTTGTAGCAACTTTATCTGAAGAGACAGTTTATGAGTCGCGGTAGGAGGCTACCTATTATTTCATTATTCTAACGCCTCAAAAACACAGCTCAATTATTCCACACAAAAAGCTCATATCGGTAGGGAATTCTCTACCGAGTAAGCGACTTTAAATTCATTCTTGTCTGGAAAAAAAATTGGTCCAGATAAAATCACACCTGCCATTGAGACTTAATGTCGACCGTTCGACCCTACTGAGAGTAGTGAAAAAGAATAGAACAAGTTCGAAAGTGTAGAGGTATGAAGAACATTTATGGATGAATTGAGAAGTGAAGTGAACTAGAAAAATAAAAACAGTGTCGTAATTGGAATGGCCGAAAACGAGTAGCCTCCTGATCGCTTCGAAACGAAAACTATCTATATTGTGTGTTCTGATCACATCATAGCCAAGAAAGTATTGCCAGATTTTAGGCTACATTAAAACAGGGTTAATATTTCTGGATTCACTGGGCGGCACATGACCCCCGGCCCTATAACAACGTTCTTAAGGGCGTACTATACCATGGAAATGGCCCCCTTGTTGACTTTTTGGAGATATTTTATTAAATTAATGTTAAGCGAAGGAATAAGGCCTTTTGTCTGTAGGTTAAGCAAACGCAGAAACAGGCAGTCGAATTTCCCCCTTTTGCAAAGAGTGCTAAGGACGGATGTTTAGACTGCCTTATTGCACAGATTTGTATACAACTGACTCGACCACACTCTAGCGAATTTTATCTCAATTTCGCGTGTGAAAAATATAAAACTTATATTTTTTATTTTTTTATTTTTCCATTCTATCATATTTAAATAAATTTACTAATATTTAATAATAATAACCTATAATTATTTAAGAAAAATTTAATGTAACCGAAAATACTTCATATTCGACCAGTTTTGACATGAAAATCCTTTTCACTGACTTTTCTCCATTCAAAAAACCTAATTTCATTCCATGACGCCTAGGCTCAGTTTAAAGATCCTATGGGATCCTTGGTGAAGCCCGGGCGAGGTACAACTTCTGGTTACGTCTGGCTATGAAGACTTTGTGGGACACAATTTGTGAAGCAATTAGTACATAATCCACAGCAACGGAGGACCGAGCAGATGGGTCTGAGTAATCGACTATCAAATATGCAGTAAATAGATTTAATTTTCCATTAGGTATTTCGCATTTTTTTATCCTTCACTAAAAGTAAATAAAATGGGCTGACATTCTTTAGGGAAACTTATCAGTTTTGTAGTGCATAGTTTATAACAACAAGAGTAAGATGAACTTACGCTTTTTCTTAAAGTAGTAGAATGCCTGAAATCCGCTCTTCTCCAGTATGTAATCTGAATGAAACCGAAGCCAAAGGAAGCGGCCAGAAGTAACAATGGGATGGTTGAGGGCACGGTCTGTACAAAAGAAGCCAATCAAAGGAGAGAAGCCATATCCTCCGTTTCGGAGCTCCAAGTAGTCATTGGTGCATTCGTGTTTCGGCTCCAGGTCAAACTTGCCTCGGAAGACAAGATGGATCACTTGATTTTTCTCTGGGGCTGATGGAAGAGGCAAAAATATACCAATTTAATCGTATTATCAACTGAAAAGAGCTATAGTACTTATCATGAGACAACCTAACAGCAGGAGAAATGAGATAAAAATTGTAGGCATAAAGCCTGAATATGGGGACTGACTTTTATCTGATCATATTTTATGGAGTGTTGTGAAAATGGTGAAAGTGAAATAACTTTGACTAAAATTTCTCATGGAATGCAACGAAAATATT